ATAGCAAAGTTGTACAACTCATCGAGACCTACAACTTTTGTTTTGGTCATTTCTCCATTAAACTTTGTTTGGATAATAAAATTTAAATTTCAAAATATGAGAACTTTGACTAGAACTTTGGGACATTAAATGATTTTAAATGAAAAAGTCTTCGAAAACAAAGTTGTAAAACTCATCGAGATACAACTTTTCTTTTGGTCATTTCTCCGTCCGACTTTATTTAAACAATTCGAAATTTATGACATGATGGCTCAAGCTGTTGCTCTTATAACAAATAAAATAAAACACAGGTTCCTTCACAAACATACAAGTGATCTAGTGGTAGTGGGGTTGTTCCTATCCTCTTGTGGTTGGTTGGTGAGGTTGTAAGTTCAAATCTTGAAGGTTAATCTATTTTATTTTTTGTCATTTTTCAACACCATGCAAAAATTATATTTCAAACTATGGAAACTTTATTTATAATTACGGGATAGTAAATAATTTCAAATGGATTTTGTTGTAATTTTTTCACGTCATGCTAAATTTTAATTTTAAAATATGAAAACTTCAAATAATTTTTTGGGATGGTAAATGATTTTCAAATGGAAAAGTTGTCAACCACAAGTTTTTAGAACCCATCTAAATCTACAACTTTCGTTTTGGTTGTTTCTTCATTCGAGTTTGTTTAAACAATTCAAAATTTGAATTTTAAAATATTGAAACTTCAAATAGAATTTTGGTACAGTAAATGATTTGAAATGAAAAGTCATCAATAGTAGTTGTATAACTCATCCAGAGCTACAACTTTTGCTTTGGTCATTTCTCCATTAAACTCTGTTTGAACAATTCGAAATTTAAATTTCAAAATATGAGAACTTTGACTAGAACTATGGGACATCAAATGATTACAAATGAATAAGTCTTTAACAACAAAGTTGTAGAACTCATTGAGATCTATAACTTTTTTTGGTCATTTTTTCGTCCGACTTTGTTTCAACAATTCAAAACTTATGTTCTGATAGCTCAAACCATGTTTTTTATAACAAATAAAATAAAACACTAGATATTACACAAACATTGAAGTGGTCTAGTGGTAGTGTGATGTTGGTGTCCTCTGATAGGTTGCAGGTTCGAATCTGGTGGTTTCTCCATTTTTATTTGCTTATGATGAGAATTTTGAAAAGAATTTTAATATAGTAAATGATTCCAGATAAAAATGTTTGGGCTATTTTTTTTATCATTTTTTACACCATGCTAAAGTTTAATATAACAAATAAAGTAAAACACCTAACAATCAAGTGTCGCTAGCAACATTGTATTGCAACGAGGACACATGCCTATAGCAACACAAAAACCATATGGCAACAGTAACATGATATTGCGTCCATTTATGATTCTAGTTGCAATAAGTACCTAACAATTGCAACGCCATTGAAGATTATTACAACCTAAAAAATCATGACAATAGGAACATGCTATTACATCCGTACAGGATTCTTGTTGCAATTACCACCTAACAATTGTAACACCACTAAAGATTATTGCAACCCAAAACGACCATGGCAATAGTTAGAAGCAATCAAATGACATAGGAGTGTATAACAAATGAGAATATATCTTGGAAAATTGAGAATATATCAACTTATCGGTTTCTTTATTCTTAATCCCTGTTTTTATAATGACTATGTTCTATTAAAACAAAAGAAATATTTGAAATCGATTTCATGCGTATTCGGTGTGGATTCATCCATAAGGTATATGCATATCCCAAAAGAAATATTCAAAATCGACATAGGGCACCTAAGCTTGTTAAGCTCATTTAACCAATTAATTGTTACACTTAAACGTGCATGTCTTGTTAAGTGTTCATGTGGTAGATTCATTTAGACTTATGTGACACTTAAACTTGTTAAGTCCACTTAAACATATAACAATTGTATAGCATTTTTTTATTCTCAAAACCAAGAAACATTTGTGTTCAGTTTTTTAGTATAGAAAGCAAAATCATGTGAAAATGAGTTGTTATCTAACTTGATTTCTTTCGACTGGAAGGATAAAATTCTAGATGACCCTATAAATTGTAGGCTCAAGATAAGTAATGAGTTTGGCCAAACAATGCCGAAAAATCTACTCTTCTCCCTTTCAATGTTATGTAGTTTTTTGTTTTTCTTCCCTATCGTACTTGTTCATCTCATGATCTTGCCCCATCTACAATGTCTTAGATCAGCTCAATAATTTCAGTGTGGCTTCTGGCATTTACATTTCCTTTGAATCAAACACTTGTTGGTGTGATTTCGTGTTAGGCAGGATGACACCTAGTGCGAAGTCATTGCCGCCCATGAATTAGAAGGTCCACATGTATATGATTCTTTGTAACACTTTAGTTGTATCATTATTTTGTGTTACTATAAGGTGTATATTTCTCACATATTTGATAACTATAAGGTGTATATTTCTCACATATTTGATATGTTTCATTTATGTGTTACAATATAGTACCACTTTTGTAACATTTTACTTGTAACATTAAATTTTGTGTTACTATTATCGTTATCAGTAACACATTTTTGTAAAGTGTTTTGTGTTACAACCTATGTCTGTAACATATAGTTTGTGTTACTATTAAATTTCTTTGGAACATATTGATGAATGTGTTATAAGATTGTGTTACAATATTCTTGTTTTGTAGTAGTAATGGCTTGGGGTTTTAAGGTGCATTCTAGAGAGTAGAACTACTGCCACGTAGTTGGCTACAAAATAATTTATTCTATAGCCACTTTGAGTTATGATAATTACTATGTTAATTTACGAGATTATAGTAACTCCTTACTAAGTGGTTTACTATAACGTTATGGTAAATATCCCCATATGTTATAGTAACCCAACTATCGTAAATATGGATTGACATTATCGTAAATTAGTATATAAAATTATCGTAAATGAATGTAGCTACAAAATAACTTATTTTATAGCTGGCTACTGAATATACTCTCCCTTCTGGAGAGTCCATTTATATACACTGAGCACCAGATTTATCCGGTGAGGGGGGAGAAACCACCAGAGTTATGGTTCAACAGTCGGCAATACTAGTTTCGCGTGGTAAAGGGCACCGGATTTCTACAGTGTGGTCACCCGCTGATGCTCACTTTCGAGGCAGCCCAAGTTTGCAACAGCTAGTTAGTTGAGTTGGGGTTATTTATTATCCCCTACACAGTCATTTGGAGTGGGTTGGAGCTGGTTGAAGTTGTAGTTATAGTTGAAATAGAGGCCATCTCTTAGTGCTTTAGTCACCAAATGTGTTTAAGAGAAGATTAGACAATTAGTAAAAGCATTAGGAATAATGCTTAGTCTAGTTTAGGCTGTATTAGCGCTTTGCTTTAGCTTTACGTGCAAAGTTGATTGAAATCTGGATATATACCTATTTGCTATTGGTGCTTGCGCCACCATAGTTGTATATTCTGAGGCTTGTAAGTGTTATGAGATCACTCTAACCATATTTGTGGAGTGGCCATTGGTGCCTCGATGGTGTATGAGAGACCAGAGGCGCTCGGTGCTTTGGCCGAAGTTCTACCAAGTGGAGACGACAAAGAGCGTTTGGGAGAGGTTTGGCGGCGACCTGCTTGCGCTTGGGTTAGAGATAGCAACATTTAGAAAAACCTTGTGCACATATAGTTAGAACTTGAGTAGATTTTTATAAGTGGTTTTTTTGCCTTAGCTTTTAAGTCATATATAATTCAGCCCCTCTTAGACGTCACAGTCCCCTTGATTAACACCAAGAAAAAAATCACTATCATGTCCATGTATTTATTGAGTCATTTACTTTCTTCTCGTTAATTTAAGCAGTTTACACTTTTAGAGATTGAATTGTTTCTAAGGCCCTAGGATGCAAACCGTCTCGCGCACCATCATATGCTAGTTTTGGATAATTTGTTTTTTTTTACTAACTTGTTATGTTGTTTTTACAAAAAAATAGTTGGAAACACCTACTCAACCATAGAAATAGTTTCTCATAATTAACTTTATAAAACTCAAAAACCGAGCGGGAGAGAGGGAAACTACTCGAAAACCACGAAGGGAGAGGGCGCCCAAATGGATAGCAAGGAGGAGTGCTGAGAGAGATTTACCAAGTGATTATCTTTATCGAGTTAAGATATAAAATTGTTGGAGGTTTTTCTTTTCTTGTCACCAGAAATTAGTGTTTAAAGTAACTCTCATCCTCTAAGGGGCCATTTGGATACTTTTTTCTCGACCGTGTTATGAGGCACGTTTTTCATTAAAAGGAAGTAGATGAAACAGACAAAAGGATTACAAAGGCGGTAATAGGCGCTTACCGCCAGGGAAAGGAAGAAAAAGAAGATAGGAGCTGCACTAAAAAAGACACTGAACCACAGCAGCTACTGCCGAACCAAACTACCTCAATCATACCTTGGAGCGCCTATCGCCTTTGAGGGATGAGCGACCTGAGATGTCAAAAACATCGGTCCCACATGCTGCTAATCACCTGATTACAAACTACCTGGAGCTTCGTCTCCTGAGTACACAGGACGGAGACGCGCTCAAGAACGACAAACTCTTTAACAGAGTCACGACGCGCCTTGCTGACGAGGCCGCGCACATTCCAGAATAGCCCATTCCAGAATAGAATGTTTCAGACGTCATTAGTACACAATTGAGCGACAAGCGCCCTGTTTATTTGGGCTTGTTGGACTTAGAGTTAAATGCATCAGAAGTTCATTAACTTGTGAGGAGGTTTCGGTTAGGTCCATCAACTTCTAAAGTGGCTTTTTGGATCCATAAACTTTGTATGCCATATCACTTAGGTCCATATCCCGCCACGCGGGCTTCTCGTGGCCTGACATATCATTCTGAAGCAGCTCTTGGTAATGCATTTTGTCAAAGAGATTGTGGGCAACGGCAACAGCGTCCCCGGCGCGCCCCGCGCAGCTGCTCGACGCCATGGAGCTCCGGCTGCGGCCGCTGGACACCGTGGAGGTCCGGTCGCGGCCTCGACCTGCGCGGTGCTAGGATGCTGTCGGTGCTTCTGCTGCTGGTGGTTGCGGGCGGCGCGGCCGCGTCGCACTCGAGCTCGAGCTCGTCGTGCCCCACGACGCCCGGGAACACGCTGCAGGTGTCGCACGCGTTCGGTCCCTGCTCGCCGCTGGGCCCCGGGACAGCGGCGCCATCGTGAGCGGGGTTCCTAGCGGACCAGGCGTCGCGTGACGCATCGCGGCTGCTGTACCTAGACTCGCTGGCGGCGCGTGGCGCACCCGCGCGTACGCGCCCATCGCGTCGTGGCGGCAGCTGCTGCAGACGCCCACGTACGTGGTGCGCGCCCGCCTCGGCACGCCGCCGCAGCAGCTGCTCCTGGCCGTCGACACCAGCAACGACGCCGCAGGGAAGTGATCCGAGGCGTCAGAGAAGTGGTGCGCGCTGGAGCTGTTCGTGGCGCTCTGCGTGTCGGGCAAGCTCGTCTGCTGCGTCGCCGCGGGTCTCTTCTTCACCATACCGTCGCCGCCAGCGCCTGCTCCACGGTCATGGCGCAGTTCATCTGCTTCTCCAGGATCTCCTTGGTGATGGCGGACTCCGCCGGGCCGTACACCTCCGGGTCCAGCTTGCTCCTGATGGGGAACTCCGTCAGGAGCTTTATGCACAGCGGGTTCAGCCCCGCGATCGTCTGCCTGCAACAAAGCAATGCAAACCCGGCCATTTAGTATTGATTTGCTTCCATTTCCAATTCCAACCACGGGTCACGGGTGCAGTGCAGTGCCAGTGCGGAGTGCCTAGTGCTAGTAGCTAAGCTATCTTACTCTCTATCATCTCCGGGACCTCGAAGCGGAGTACGTGATCGGTGGTGTCCCCCACCAGCTTGACCACGCGCGGGACGACGCTGCGGATGGCGTCCAATCCGGTCTGCGCCGGCAGCGGGATGCCGTCGCTGTGGAGTTCGTCGATGGCCGGGAAGTGCGGGAAGCGCAGCTCCTCCTTGATCAGCATCGGCCTGATCGCCAGCAGCAGCGCGTGCAGGCCCGAGCGCAGCGTGGTGGCCCCGAACGTGAGCTGCTTCACCTCCGAGAACTGCTCGTCGCGGGGCACGTAGTGGTGCCCGTCGCGCTTCTCCGTCTGGGGGTCCCTCTTGGTCCGGGCGCGGCCGGTGCGGCACCGGCGCGGGTACGGGAACCGCTTGCTGCCACCGAGGATGGGCCGCTGGTGGTCGGGGTTCTTGTCCGGGTCGCCCAGGTCGTTGTACACGTCGTAGTCGTAGACGCGCTCGAACGCCTTGCGCTCGCCGCTCCCGTCGCCGCGCAGTTCCTGCAGGTCCTTCTTCCTCAGGTCCTCCAGGCCCTTGGGCGTGTCGGACGACAAGTAGGACTGCACGCACGCGACGCCACGCGAAACAAGAGTCAGTGCCATGCATGGTACGTACGTCGTCGTTGTTGCAGTAGTCACCAGGCATGCATGGAAAAACAACTGAAGACCTTGAGGGTGAAGAAGATGCGCTTCTCCGGCTTGTCGAACTTGGAGTGCACCCAGGAGTTGCAGTCGAAGGTGACGGCGGTGCTGCTGTCGCCGCCGGTGACGAGCTTGATCTCCCTGATGAAGATCTCCTTGTGGTGCTCGTTCTCCACCAGCACCGCGCCCACCGGCCCGAACGACGCCGGCACCTTGAACTCTGCCTCGTAGTGGCCCTCCCGCAGCGTCTTGTGCGCGAACGCCGTCACCCGCGGCTTCTCCAGACCCGTCTCTGCACCCACCACCACCACATGCATGCATGCATGGCGCTCATCCATCGTTGAAGTGGAGGGGGGATAGATGACGCGTGTGTGGCGCGCGTGCTGTGTCGAGCCAACGACGACATGAGGTACGTACGGACGGTATCACTGCTATACTCACTTGCGTCGAGCTCGGAGCTGACGAGCTCCATGAGCAGCGTCTTGCCGAGGAGGTCGCGGACGTCGTCGAGGGCGCGCTCGAAGTACATCTGCCCGATGGCCGGCGACGCCTCCACCGTGGCCGACACCGTCATCATCTGCTCCACGGTGACGGACGGCACGGCGCCGCTGACCTCCTCGGTGGCGCTGCAGCTGATCCTTGGCAGCCGCATGTGCCGCCGGGACGACCGGGACCGGGAGGAGAAGGAGGACACGCCGCCGCCCCTCCGCCTGCTGACGACGGCCGCCGCTGAGGGCCACGACGCTAGGCGCGAGCCGAGGATCATGCTAGACGCGGCGCCGGACCCTGCTGAGGCTGGGCGCAATGCGCTCGCTGGTCCACCTCGACGTGAGCGGCAACACGCTGTCGGGCTCGCTGCTCGGCGCGCCGAGGACGCTGTCGCCGTCACCCACAAGCTGTTTGATAAAATGCACTGCCAAGATATGTTTCAGAAGGACATGTCAGCAGGCCACGTCAGCATGAGAAGACCGCGTGACGAGATATGGACCTAAGTGATACGGCATACAAAGTTTATGGATCCAAAAAGCTACTTTAGAAGTTGTTGGACCTAACTGAAATCTCCTCACAAGTTAATGGACATCTGGTGTATTTAACTCTTTGGCTTATAAGCCATGACTAAAAGTAGTGCTGGCTAATTTGATGTAAAAGAAAAATAATATTCGTTGACTGTCATGACTTATAAGTCGAATTCGACCAAACGAACGGGCTGAAAGCTGAAGGAGCGCCGAGAAGCACAGCAGCTCAGGAGTCCGGAGGACAAGCCGCCGAAGTCGACACATTGTCGGCAAAGACCTGGTGGTAAGAGTGCATAGCTTCATGATCAACACCCAGCTCCTGCTGTTGAATCTCCCATCGTTTGATGAGCACATTCTGAGCTCGGACAACAGGATTGGCCACCCTGAACTTACTTTTCGCCGCCAGGCGCCCACTGCGGCGCGGCGACCAATCCACAGGAATCTTAGAGACCCTGCGTTTCGGTGGACCGGCGATAAGCGGAGTCATGAGAGGAGCACAGATGAATCAGGCGAACTCTCTGGCAGGCTCCGACGGCGAGTGGTGGGTGAGCACAGGCGACGGAGGTGTTTTGCGTCCGTTCGCATGTATCAGCGCCGGCGGTGACGACATACGATGGGGCAGCGGCGTGGCGCCTGATTGCTCCTCCAACTCCGAGAGGCACAGGGGGTGACGGTCATCCACAGAATACACTTCTAAGGTTCTGCAGTCTAGCGGACCAAGCGACATTAGCTTTGGCCGAAATGGGACACTCTCCATATGGAATAGGTCCCTCCTCAGTAAGGATCCCGTGTTCAAAGGAGGATCCATGGCGAGCAGCAGTCCAGGGATGGATCCTTTCATTGGAAGGAAATAAAATATACTTAATAAACTAGACTATTTGTCTTCGAATTTGACATTCCACCACTTTTCAAAGTTCACGTATAAGCTTATATCAAATTTATAGGTGGGTGATGAATTTTTTTTTGGTTTTGAGTGGACGATGAGAATTGATTATATAGATCATGCTATGTTTGTACTTTGCAACTTATATCACATTCTTTAACTCGCTCCCCTACAATAGAAATGCAACACATAAGTATCTCTCTCGTATAACCAACAATAATATACAAATACAAATATAATCCATATACAACAATATTAGCTTAATTAATATGTGTCTAAATTATGATTATTATCATCAACAACAACAAAACCTTTTAGTCCCAAATAAGTTGGGGTAGGCTAGAGTTGAAACCCAATATGAGCTCCTAGTCATGGTTCAGACACATCCATAGCTGCTTTCAAGCACTCCTATCTAACACAAAAGATCTTTAGGTATATCGCAACCCTTTAAATCTCTTTTTATTGCCTCTCCCCTATGTCAGCTTTGGTCTTCCTCTACCTCTCCTCGCATTGTTATCTCGACTTAGGATTCTACAATGCACCGGTGCCTTTGAAGGTCTTCTTTGGACATGGCAAAACCACCTTAACTTATGTTGAACAAGCTTTTCTTCAATTGGTGCTACCCTAGATGGTCACGTATATCATCGTTCTAAACTCGGTTCATCCTTGTGTGACCACAAATCTATCGCAACATACGCATTTCCATGACATTTAGTTGTTGGACTTGTCGTCTTTTTATAGGCCAACATTCTGCTCCATACAACATAGCGGGTCTAATCGTCGTTCTATAAAACTTGCATTTAAGCTTTTGTGGTACCCTCTTATCACATAGAATGACAGATGCTTGGCGCCACTTCAACCACCCTACTTTGATCCTATGACAAACGTCTACATCAATATCTCCATCCTTCTATGACATCGATCCTATATAGCGGAAGGTATCTTTATTAAATTATGATTATTAAAATGAATTTAATGCGAAGGATCCAAACAGGTCCTAATTGTTTCCTTCCGTAGACTTTGTACCTTTTTTCGGCTTTGTTCCTCAATATAGGATGGAGTTCTCCAGAAAATAAAAACCTTAATCCACCACACACTATGACTTGTCTCCTCGAGTCCTCGTTAACCCGCGGTGTAAATGCGAATGAAAAAATATTCCTTTTTATGATACCATATTCCCAAAAATCCTGACTACCGGATATGCTGGCTACTGAGTCCGTATACCGAAAAAGACCAGAAGGCTCACGTCTCGCTCATTCAAGGAATGATATCTCATGATCACGTCGACTCCGACTAGGGCACGACTACGTGGCATACATGGCAAGTAGGCCTCGATATAAATAGCTAGTAATACCCTCTGTTGTAATCATCCAATCTCTCATATGCATAGCGTACTCGCAATCTCGTCGAATACATAATACAAGAAGTAGCAACTGAACGTAAGGCTTTTACTTGCTTTCCGGGAGCCGAACCAGTATAAATCTCGTATCTCTACTGTGATTAATCTTTGCACTAAGCGTGGTTTTCAAGAACCAAATACCCGCCGATAAAAAACACCAACAAAAACGCGCCAAGCAGGAGAATTCTGCATGAAGACCAATCCTACCGATCATCGGAGGAGTTTTGTCCCCGAGATGCAGCGCACCGCCGTCAGAGAAACTCGCCGGTTCATGCGACGAAGCCTGTTTCTGTGACAACGGGTGACCTGATCACCAAGGTAATGCACGTGAAGAAGTAATTGGCAAGCGAACAAAGGGTGAACGGATCTACACCGCCATGAGGCACGTGCGTGCAATTCTCCCTGTTGTCTGTTTGTATTGTTGGATCCAACTCCAACACGTGGTTGACATGCCGAGCTGCGCATCAAACAAGCTAAGCTAAGGCCGGGTTTAGTTGCAAAAATTTTCACCATAAACTATCACATCGAATCTTACGGCACATGCATGATGCATGGAGTATTAAATATAGACGAAAAAAACTAATTGCACAGTTTGGTTGGAAATCGCGAGACGAATGTTTTAAGCCTAATTAGTCCATAATTAATCATAAGTGTTACAGTAACTAACATGCGCTAATAATAGATTAATTAGGCTTAATAAATTCGCCTCGCAGTTTCCAGACGAGCTATGTAATTAGTTTTTTTTATTAGTATCCGAAAATCCCTTCCGACATCCCCGAAACATCCGATGTGACATCCAAAAATTTTGATTTCGCGAACTAAACACAACCTAAGTCGGATTTCTTGTTTAATTATAAATAATTTTTTTTACATCTGTGTATCCTCGGATATTTTTCCACCTGTGTCCACGATTGCTACTAGCAGCGGCGCCCTTGCCATTGGCACGTCAACAATCCGCTCGTCGTGGACATGAGGTCCCGAGTAATCTACCATACCTCCCGTATACCATCCACATCACTGTTCCCACAAACAGTAACCCAACCACCACCGTCGGATTCTCATCCTTCTGTCCCGTACCCTCCACGCGTCCAGGCTTCGTGAATCTCCGGCTCTTCCCTGTCCGGCCCTGTCCTCTCTCTCGGGCCCGAGCACGGCGCCGGTCGCCCACTCGCCCCTCTCCCTCCCCCCGACATCGGCGCCCCTCGCTCTCTCTCTCCCCCACCACAGCGACGCTCCTCCCTCTCCCACACAGCGGCGGCGCTTCTCCCTCTCCCCCACGGCGACGTCCCGCCGTCTCCTACACAGCGGCGGCGCCTGCATGCGGACGCCGGATGCCCGCCACGCTTGCGCCCACACGCCGCGGCTCCTCCTGGTGCCTGCCCTCGACCCTATCCTATCCCCGGCCCCCACCGACGGCGCCCTCGCGGAGTCCGCCTCGCGTGGCTGCGTCCTCCAGCGGCGGCGCATCCCACGGCCCCATCCCCCCGTGGTACCCGTGCCATGGCTGCGGCCATCTCCTTCCGTGCCTCGCCCTCGGCGGAGACGTGCCGCCGCCGGAGTAGACGCCGGGGCGGCCACGCCAGCAAGCCCCGGCTGTGGCCCCGCCGGTGGCCGCGGAAGCCACTGCCACGCCAGCGCCTCCCGCAGCCAGTCCCTGCCGAGGTCGTGACGACAGCCGCCGTCCCGTTCTCCGTCTAGCGCCGACTACGCCCCTCCGTCGCGTCACCCTCCGTCCCTTCCTCGGCCGTCCCTTCCGACTTCGAGGTCGACATGGACGGCAGCCACCATGTGTTCGCTGAAATGCTGTTGAGGTAATATATGATACGGTTCTGGCTTCTTCTGGATTATTCAGTGTGTTTAGCAAAGATTTGACTGCTGCCTTGGATTTCCTTCACAAGTGCACACAGATCTTTGGCAAATATTATTAACCATCAGTGAATCATCTGCTGGCACGAGTCAGTCCTGCAGCGGCAAGTGAATCACCACCGTCCCCATCGAGCCTCTTCAGTATGTGGGCATTTGTATGTATTTTGGGGTTACCCCTTTACTTTGTGTTAATTTTTTGTACTACCCAGATTATAAACTATGGTTGCTTCTCCTTGATTGGGTCACACTGCAAGGAAAAACACCTACAATGTCATACTTTTCTGTGGTGCAAATAGTTCATGTCTGTTTATCATACTAGCTATGAACATGTGATTTCATTTCAGTCTATTGGCAATAAGAATACAAATGGTACTTTTCTGAGGAAATGAGAAAATGCATAATCTTCTATGTTCGTCAAGTGCCCATTATTTCTTTGGTAGCCTTTCTCTGTCAGACTTAAACAATCTAATTGCAGCTTTAGCATTAATGAGAGGTGCGTCCAGTTGAACTTCATATCCTGGATTTTTTAAAGGTTGATTTAATTGCTTCAAAAATTTGGATGTAGGGATGACCCTTTTACAAAGGACCATTTCCAAGGTTTAGCAGTGACCATTTTTAGCAGACTGATACAACATATACATATCCAGGGATTCATCTTCGAGGTCATTCACCACTCAACCTTTCCTGTTCATTCAAAGATTATCCAACAAATTTGCAAGTTGTAAAGTCTGATTCCACATTATACAAAATTAAAACTGCGTTGAACAAGCCTAAAGCTGCAGGTCACATCGTCATTGTACGGGAAACACTAGATTGTAGCTCTACTCATTCTCAAAGTAAGTTGACCTGATCAGCCTTTTGCGATCTCCCGCACTGCCACTGTTTCCAGTCTTCCTGCTACTTGCGTCTTCATTTTTTTTTAAATTCCCTTCCCAATTTCTTGGGTCATCTAAATATAGTCTACAAACTACAAAGTTTATATATGTTTCAGAAAAATAGTAGGTGCTGTCAGGACCATCAACAACAACAACAACAAAGCCTTTAAGTCCCAAACAAGTTGGGTAGGCTAGAGTTGAAACCCATCAGAAGCGATCAAGGTTAAGGCACGTGAATAGCTGTTTTCCAAGCACTCCTATCTAAGGCTAAGTCTTTGGGTATATTCCATCCTTTCAAGTCTCCTTTTATTGTCTCTACCCAAGTCAACTTCGGTTTTTCTCTGCCTCTCTTTATGTAACTATCCTGGCTTAGGATTCCACTACGCACTGGTGCCTCTAGAGGTCTCCGTTACACATGTCTAAACCATCTCAACCGGTGTTGGACAAGCTTTTCTTCAATTGGC